CACAACTCATTCTAGCCCATACTCTCACAGCTCTTTAAGCAGTCAGCACTGATCTGAGCTCAATTCTGCCATGAGGAGGTGATCGGCTCTCCAAAATGAGCAGCCCCCCTCCGTGCCTGTAGCTGTTCTAATGGATTTGATCCAGTGCTGAGTCAATGAGACATATCGTCTCTCTCTCTCTCTCTCTCTCTCTCTCTCTCTCTCTCTCTCTATCACTCATTCTCTCTAAACAATAAGCCTGCACTGATATAAAAACAGAAAGATAAGGTGCTGATGTCGGCTTTATGCAAATGATAGGTGACTTCAAAGTGAAGTGAGAGATAGAGAAAATAATGGGATCCAATGTGTGATGAATCAGAACACTGGTGGGAATGGATATTACTGGAAAGCTGCGGTATCCTGCTTTTTTTCATTGCCATATTTGAGCTAGCTATGCAATATACAGTATGGCCACTGTATTTTTACTCTAATTTAAAACTATTTTGATTTCAAATTTTATTATCAGCATAACAGTGAAAAGTTAAAATGAATTTTATGTCTTAATATTTGGTATGTCCAATTTTGCTTTAATGACATCTTAGCAATAGTGCAGAATCTTAAATATTTATTATAAAATTTATATTATTATAGAATTTCAGTGTGGTCTATATTTTTATATTTTGAAGTTAAAATAATGTTCATGCAATGTTCATAATGTGATTCCAGGTTGTATTGCATCCAACACCCAATAGTCCCAAACAATGTGAGCCCCATAAAATGACTGTTGCCAAAGGTTGCCCAGATGACCTGAAGATCAAATTGGCTGTCCGTATGGACAAACCACAGAACATGAAGCACTGTGGGTAAGTGACATCCTCAAAATTTTAATTTCTGATTTTGCTTGTGTACTGTTAAGATTTGCTGAAGGTGAAACCTGCTAACATGGACAGTCAGTTCTACACTGACCCAAAACTGAATAGAGTTCAATAAGTTGTTGAATAGTAGCAATATGCACAGGCTCAGGACAGCCCATTTCACTAACACTGAAAGGCAAGAGTTATAAACTGGTTCAATGAACATGTGGCCTCACCACTCTTGTGATCTCTTGGCTCCACCTAGTGGATACAGTAGCAAATTATTAACAACAGATGCATATGATGGACGAGATCTGTATCAGTATATCCTGTACAATATATATGGATTAATTTTACAATATAAATATTTTAAGATTTTAAAAGTATATAAACATATTTAAAACACAATAGTTTATAAAGGTGATAAGACATGAATAAACATGATGAAATATTTAAATGTATTACTAAATTATTAAATTGATTTTTTTGTTTGTTTTAAGCATGAATGTAAAAAATAATGCAAACAATTTGCCAATGGGATAGAAAATATTTAATTCAGTATATTTTCATCTGTCTTTGTCTTATGAAATTTGTATCCTTGTTTTAAGGATATTTTGAGTTTTTATTTTTTACTAGAAAACAAGGCAAAATACTGAAAACTGAATACTGAAAACCATATGTATGTAACTTTTCATGCAAGTATGTCATGCTCATCAAGGCTGATTTTATTTGATCAAAATACAGAAAAAAAAACTTAAAAAAGTTATATTGTAACATATTATTAAAATTTAGAATAACTGTTTTTTGCTTTAATATACTTTCAAATATAATTTATTCTTGTTGTGCAAAGCTGAATTTTCAATAGCCATTACTCCAGCCATTTCTGACCTCAAATTTTTGAATGGTAGTGTATATTGTTACAAAATTTCTGTTTTGAATAAATTCTGTTCTTTTTAACTTTTTTACTCATCAAAGAATCCTAAAAAAAAGTATCACTGTTTCCGACATTGGTAATAAATCAGAATATCAGAACATTTCTGAAGGATCATGTGACACTGAAGACTGGAATAATGGCTGATTGATTGTTCGATTGACTGATTGATTAATTGACTGCAGTGGTCAATTAATTATATTTATCATCATGTCCCATGTGATGTGCCTTTGCCTTCAGTGCAATTTAATGTTTTCGACATTAGGGGGCACTAAACCTACACCCGAGAATCCATATCTATTCTTTGCTTGTGTTAAAACTCACTCTACTTACTGAGAGGAGACTCGTATGTCATTGTCCATGAATTTGCATTATGTAGCAGGTTTTCGTTTAGATTTTTTTCATTTTAAATATTCATTCAAGTGATATGTACAATATAGCAAATCTCTGCCTGATTCTCCCCAACTATATCTGCATATATGCAGTGTACTTCTAGTCCATCTTTAATCTGCTAAATGCGACTATATTGACAGCGTGATTTTCTGTAAAGCTGTTTTGAATTTAAGGAAATATTTTATTTCATTTTTGAGAAAAGTGTATATATCATCCTTGATTTAATGAACACATTTTTAGTGTTATAGCTGAAATGTCATAGCTGTAGCATTTTTCTAAATGATTTTGTTTCTCATTTTATTTCGAAATGATCTATATATCTCATCTTCAAATAATCAGCCACCTATTTTGTCTGTTTATAGCATATGAATGTCTTCTCAATTATGCAATGATTTTTGTTCTTTTTTCACATTTTTTTGGTAAAGGTACATATTACTGTATGTTCTATGTTTTTCACCTATTTTGTCTGTTTATAGCATATGAATGTCTTCTCAATTATGCATTGATTTTGTTCTTTTTTCACATTTTTTTGGTAAAGGTACATATTACTGTATGTTCTATGTTTTTCACCTATTTTGTCTGTTATGAATGTCTTCTCAATTATGCATTGATTTTTGTTCTTTTTTAAAAAAAAATTGTAAAGGTACATATTACTATATGTTCTATGTTTTTTAAACATATTTTTAACATATGTTTATGATGTTAAAGTATCCCTGTTGTAATTTACTATTTTTAAATTATTCAGAGAGAAAGGCAACAGTGGCCCATTATCACCCAAATTAAGAAGAACACATCCAGCAAGTTATATCTTGACTGACACTATGATGCAACACCTGCTCTGCGTCTGTTCACAGATACCTTTGGGCCATTGGGAAAAACCTGTGGAAAAGATGGAAGAAGAGGTTCTTCGTCTTGGTGCAGGTATGTGCTTTTTCACCTTGGTGTGACTTCTGATGGAGACCTTTTTCTCCCCTTTTGATTCAGAATTTTTTTATCGAGTGCTGTGCATTTCCATTTCCATTGTATGTGTCAAAACTGCTCCAGTGAAGTAGACTAGATTCCCGACACTCTCTGATCGAGCACTGTGTCAGGTACCTCGATGGAGCCTTTTTTATTTCTGTCTCAATTGTTTGCTGTTCAGTCAGCTCCTCTGTGGCGGGTTGTAACATGTCTGAGAGCTAAAAGTTGACAGGCGGCTTGACAGAGTAAAGGACCAGCACTCGCAGCTAAAAGAGCCCACATCACACGCCCACCAGTCGCTCGCAGCTACGACTACAGCAAGTGACAAACAACAGTCAATGCACTGACATTATTTATTTACCTTAGTGTTTGCATGCATGTGTGTCTGTGTGCTTGTGTGCATGCAAGCGAAAAACATTACACAATGCCCCCTTTGTGTTTTCGAATGTCAGTGTGGGTAAGAAAATATGCCAGAATGCGCTTTTTGTGTCTGTGCTTTTTGTTTGTTTGATTTTGTTGGTTTCACACTTTTTGTTTGTTTGTTTCCTTTCTGCGTTTTGTTGTTTCTTCTCTGTTAAATCCTGTGTATTCACACAAATGTCAACACATCCATCTGTGTAATCCTCGTAAATGTTAACATAAACATACTCCAGAGTATGTCGTGGCATCTTTAATGTTTTATTTAGATTTTTAAAAAATATATAAAATGTTTTATACCACATACACAGTGAAATACTGAATTTTAATACAATATTTAGTATAAACCAACAACTCTCCAATATAAGACCTATATTATAAAATCTACGCTGTAAAAATGTTTTGTGAGCATAAGGTGATTCATGCATTTTTGCCTAAATTATTGAAAAAATATAATTTAACCTGAATAAATCAATGTAATTACATTAGTTTACATCATCAGGCATTTTAAGGGTCAGATCATGCAGCAGTAGCTCCAAAATGAGCTAAATTAAATGTATATGATGCGTGCCGACCCTGTTATTAACATCAAAGTAACCGGTTTTTTGTATTTTTATATGCACTACCGTTCAAACATTTAAAGGGAGGTAGGATTTTTTTTAAACTTTTGAAAGAAACCTCTTATGTTAACCATTTATTTGATCACAAATACATTAAAAGATAGTGTTGTGAAATGCTATTGCAATTAAATATGTGACCCTGGACCACAAAAAAAAAAACATCAAAATTATGGACTTTTCTTTTATGCCAAAAATCATTAGGATAGTAAGTAAAGATCATGTTATATGAAGATATTTTGTAAATTTCCTATCATAAATATATTAAAACTTAATTTTTGATTAGTAATATGCATTGCTAAGAACTTCATTTGGACAACTTTAAAGGTGATTTTCTCAATATTTCGATTTTTTTGCACCCTCAGATTCCAGATTTTCAAATAGTTGTATCTCGGCCAAATATTGTCCTATCCTAACAAACCATACATCAATGGAAAGCTTATTTATTCAGCCCTTATGACTGGTTTAGTGGTCCAGGGTCACATATATTCTAAAACATCCACAAAGCTGAATTTTCAGCAGCTATTACTCCAGTCTTCACTGTCACATGATCATTCAGAAATCTTTCTAATATGCTGATTTGCTGCTCAATAAAACATTTCTTCTTATTATTAATGTATATCAGTGAATAGAAATGTCAAAATAACAGCTTTTTAAAAATATAATCTAAAAATGTCTTTACTGTCACTTTTCAATCAAGTTAATGCCTCTTTGCTGAATATAAGTAAATATTTAGTATGCAGGATGTGCTATCTATGAGTGACCAGAGTTTGATTGACACTGAATGATTCTATGTAAATGCCCCTGCATTATGGGGTTTGTGTTACAGGGTGGGTGTGAGTTCACTGTTGCATTATTCATAGATTATTACCACACCATGTAGACCATTTAGGGCTCTTGTTTGACACAGGCTGGCTTTGAGACAAGATGTCACGAAAAGGTTGTGACAGAGATCCCTGTGGCTCCACCCTGCCATTTAATTTCTTCAGTTTGTATCTATTTTAACATCTCTATCCTTTATAGAGCACTGATAAGCAGTCATATAAATTCTATAGCAGCCGAATCGTCTGTCTTCGTGCCTCTAAATGCTCTTGTTGTCAGTAAGTTGACAGCATAAGGCCAGCATTATGATTCAAACTGAAGTCTAATTATTTTACGGTCGGTAGGCGATGTGACAAAACAGCGGGCAGACGCTCTGTGCTCGCTTCCTCTTTCCCCTCATCTCGTCTCCGATGCTCTGGCTCAGGCATTCAGCCTTACGCATCTGAATATGGTAATGCGTTCGAGTGACCCGGAGGGGCTCAGGTTGTGTGTCTGGCATTCGGCTTTATATTTCCAGCATTAGTGATCGATTTGCACCCGCTCTCCCGCTCTCTTCATCCACAATGCAATTTACAGAGCATCGACAATAACAAGGTTATTTAAAAGAGCAAAAGCATGCAGGGGTAATCAGAAAGCAAAGTCATTTAAAATCCTTTAACTGTCGGTTTGACAGCGGGTCAATGGCCCCACCAGCGACCGCTCCGGCTTCTGACAGGCCCGGACTTCAGAGGATTGATGGGAGGTTGTGCGTGTATACATGTGTGTGCGAGCGCGGGGGGTGCGCGTGCCCCGGTGGCGTCCCGAAGGCACCTGGGTGCCACCAAGCCAGATCGGGGCCCTGAAGCCAGCCCAAGTGCCCGTCACACACATGACATTGAATTTATCATGTCACTCGGAGACGGAGTGAGAGAGGGCTGCCACTTTCAGCAGAGGTGATGGAGGCGCTGGATTGGTGCAATGCTGCGGATGAGGCCGGAGAGCGTCTTGTGTGTGTGTGTGTAGAATGTGTGTATGACTGGCACCTAACTGCACGACTCGCATCCAGAGTGACAGCGTGTCATCCCACACTCTTCTGTCAGTTCCGTTTGATTGGCAGGACAAAACCTTACAAGTCCAACCCTACACCGTCAGTGACCGAGACAGCCTCCCTCTGAGTTGCCACCCTCCGTTTGAACCCTATCACTAGCCTGAAGTAGATATTTCTGTTCGGGTTTTGCCTTTCTAGTTCTTAATAGTGTAATTCGCGATGTGTGTTTAATGTGCCAATATTCTTTCCAGGTCAGCCAGTACACCTTTGCCATGTGTAGCTACAGGGAGAAGAAAGCAGACACAAATATGTATGTACACTAACGTTTTTCCTAAAAACCCAAGTTCACATCCATCCTGTGTTATGTCCCGATTCCATTCCTGCTCTCTCCCTGTTTTTTCCTGTCATAAAAAAGTATTATTTTATGTGTAAATAAACTTTAGCCATGATTCAAAAGTGCTGTGAGAGTATTGTTAGTTCAACAATGCTTCCATATACAGTACCTTGAAAGGGTCTGATCAAGTAGAAATAACTCAGTGTTGTGACTTTTCACAGTGCACTTTTACTTACACAGTGATTAATTTCCATGTGATGTATAAATGATGAACAATATGTTGAATTCAGGTCTGGATGGTGGTCGGACATTCTTCAATGCTGTGAAGGAGGGAGACACTGTGATCTTCGCCAGCGATGATGAGCAAGATCGAATCCTGTGGGTTCAAGCGATGTATCGTGCCACGGGCCAGTCCCACAAACCCATCCCCACCTTTGCCATGTGTAGCTACAGGGAGAAGAAAGCAGAACCTGTTGAACTTCTCCAACTGGACGGATACACTGTGGATTACACCGACCCTCAGCCAGGTCACTGCAGCCAATCGGATTGCTACAGTCAATGATGTCACAGTGAATATAGTCTTCACCTGTTCTAGCCACCTTGTTTTATTTGTAGTTTGAATGGCTGAGGCTTCCGATGTCAGTTGCTTCCAGTTATTTTATCTGTACCAAAGCAGTCCATTATGCTGCTTGATTTTGCAAACTGGTATTTGTTATCATATTTTTTATTTATTGCTGTAATTATAAACATATAGCACTTAGTTTCTTCCCAAAGTCTTGTGCATTCACAAAAAGCATTGCAAAATAAGGTGGATAGAAATACCTGTTAGACCAGCAGGTGGCATGTGTTTCTAGGACCCATACACATTTATTCCCAAAGAATAGGTGACTAATTTTATTAGTGTTAAACAAACACCGGTAATTAACTAGTTAAGATCAATTATCTTTCATTGAAACCTTCTGTATCTTTGCATAAAACATTATGCACACTGTACACGGGTTATCTAAATCTCTAATATTCATCCGTGTTGCATAGTGTCTATGCAGTAATGTTTTATGAAGAATGTTTTATTTTCATGTCGTCTGAAATTTGACTAATGAAGCATTTATAGTCTATGCGTAATCAAGCACTGCATGCTAAATATTGTGACAAATGGAATAAATTAAAACAATTATATCAATATAAAGCAATATTGGTTCATTTAAATCAATTACAGTGTAAACATTTTTTTGTGAGATAACCAAAAAATTTGATTCAGGTGGCCACATCTGTGTTAACTGAATAATAAAGTAAAAATATTGTTTAACATGGTTGAATCAACCTTACTACCTTAGGTTGCACCAACAAAAGCAATTACTATGTTTTTAAAATAAGATTCTACACATCAATATTAATTAAAGCTGCCATGCAAATAATAATAATAATTTTACAGCATTTATTCTTGAGTAATAAAATAGCAACATTATTGTTATTATTATTATTAACTAATTATTAATATAATAGAATACAATAATATTGATGAATATGTATTCATCTTCATTAATAAATATGTAATCTTGATTAATATCAGTTTATAAATACACTATTACTAAATATTCACAGATCATCTTAGTTCATAATGCAATAACATTAATGTCAATTTAAAATATTTGATATAATTGAAATACTTTCTACATTAGGCTGCGGATTCTGTGAACATATTGACTAATGTTTTGGCTATCATGCAACTACTATTTAGCAATATATATATATATATATATTTATATATACAGCATCCACGAAGGCCACCTCAGCGTGCTTGATGCCCAGACACGTGAGGCAGCGATCGTGACCATCACCCGGTGCCAGGTAACGACCGCACCCAGAAACGCACGGGTGAAACGGCATCCTTATAAGGACGATCCGTCGTCTTTATAAAGACGCACCCGTGTAGCTCTTTTAGAGAAATTTGCTCTTTTTAGGAAATGCTCTTTTAGTGCTGAGGCGCACAGGGGAGATGGCCGCTTTGCAACACGACAGGGGGTGGTGCAGCCTGAAGTGCGCAACCCACTCGACACTGGAACGACCACTGCTGAAGCGCCGTCCCGCCAACACAGAAAGCTTCCGAGAGCGTGCTGAACTCGTAGTTCTCGAAATAAACATAGAGCAGAACGATGTAGTCGCTCGGCTCCGAAGCGAAAAGCTGGTATGCATTGCACCTGCTGCCTTATTATACTCACGCTGTGATCAGCGGCAGCTGGATGCAATAATTGCATGCCAATGTGCATTGGCTCGTTTAGTTTACACTCGAAGTAGATTGGTCTATCGAAGCGATATCCCAATTCGTCGGTCACGACACACATGCTGACTGCAGTCACACACACACACACACACAGGGCGAGAGCTGCATTTATAATGACACTCTTCATAGCAGTCACACTCTTACATGGAAATTTTCTATAAGATCGGCTAAATAAGTTCCCGTTCTAAACAGTGCACTACTGATGTTTTTATACCCTGTTTCACTCTACTGCTCATTAATGTGCTGTAAGTGTAATCTCAACAGTGTTCACCTCCTGAGAACAGTAACTACTTACTGTATTAGTGTTGTAAAAAGGGAGAAAAATCTCACTCTGTTTTCATCTGCACTGTTTGATTCTGTCAGAAATCTTTCATCTTGCATCCCACATACATTTCATCATTGCATATTCTTTGCTTTGATACCTTTTGATCCCCGTCTTTATTTTATAATTCTTCTGCTTGCTTTCTTTATTTCTTTATTTACTTACTTATTTGTTTGTTTGTTTTTAATTACTTATTTTGCCCACTTGTTCATTTGATTTCTTTCTTTCTTTCTTTCTTTCTTTCTTTCAGCACTTTTCTTCTGTCTATTTGTTTCTTTTACTTAATTTTTGCTTTTTTCTTTTGCTTTTAACTCTTTCAGTTTTCTCTTGCTTATATAAGCTCTTTTGCTTTTGCTTTTCATTCACTCGTTTTTCTTTCTTTCTTTTTTGCTTTTGTGTATATTTGCTTTTGTTCACTCATTGTTTATTTTTTACTTTCACTTATCATTTCTTCCTTTCTTTCTTTCTTTCTTTCTGTTGTTTTTCTTCTGCTGTTCACTCTTTCGCTTTTCTTTTGCATATATTTGCTCTCTTTTATTCATTACTCATCACTCTTTTCTGTGTATTTTTGCTTTTATATTTTATGCTTTTCTTTTGCATAACTTTCTTTCTTTCTTTCTTTCTGGTATTTTAAATTATTGCGACCCTCTCTGCACCATCTCAAGTTTTTTTCCCCTCCCATTTTCAGATAATTGCTTGTGTGTGTATGAATAAGTGTATCAGATCATGCTTTGCTTACACTGTAAAGGGAATATTATTTCCTCCTTTCTCTTTCTCTCTCTGCTTTCTTCTGTCTTCTGCTCCACGTGAGTCTATATGTCACTCTGGTTTGTTCCCTCTTACCCTGCTCTCTTGTAGCCGGACTGAAGGGTAAGTGCTTCCCTGTAGCAGGCACAGATCAGATAAGCCGCTCCGAATTATCTGACACAAGCAATGTGCTGTTCGCTATTCCTTTTCTAAAACTCTCATTTTCTCTCAGAAATCTCTCAGAAGAGATTTCCTTCTGCAAATCTCACTCTATTTTTTTTCCTTTGGGTCTGAAAGACAAACACTTTTATTTAGAAGACTAGACTGCATGTGAAATTTTTATTTCTGGATGTTTTGCTCTGATTAGTAGTTGCATATTTGCCTTCTCTCAACATGGCTTCATCAGGTCAGCAGCTTCTCAAATCAAAGCAGCGTTTCTCATTAAAAAGCACGTGCAAAATTAAATCCATATGTTCCTTGTAAGTTAGTTTCTTGTTGGCTGAAATCAACAGCAGTTGCCTTTATTTAACAATAAAGATTCCCGACCAAATGGAGAATTTGGTAAATGATATAATTATAGTGATTTTCTCTATTGTAGTTGTTGATTTATTGTGCTAAATGAATTCTGTGAAACCACTGGCGTGCTCTGCACCCCTCAGCAGTTGGTAATTACCATGTTAAGAGTGACATGCTATGAATAAAACAGTGTATTCACCCTGATTATTTCTGGAAGCTATCAGTGGAATGTTACCAAATAACTACTTGCTAGTTCACACCAGTTTCTCTCATCTGTAGAAAGTCGTGCCATCAGTGTTTTCATTTTTTTTTTTCTCTTAACCTTACGACCGCGGCAAATTAAATTGTTGTGGTTGCAGTTTTAAATGTGGGGATTAGGATGCAGTTGGAAACATTGGCTGTTTGGTTTCAGTTCTCCTTGAAAAGATTTGTGCTGTCCTTGAAGCAGTGGACTCAGTAATATTTAACACAGTTTATTCATTCTGTGAGTTTTAAGAGTCTATTTTTATTTAAAAAAGAGAGAGTTGGCAAATATGTAGCTGGAATTTAGAAATATTCAGCAGGTGATGTCATACAGTTTTTTTTTTTTTATTGTACGGTAGTTAAACTAATGCAACTGTTGTCACAACTGCTACATCTAGACAAGCCGTTTTGCCACACACTTACACTGACACATTTAACAAATAGTGGCCCTGTTCATGTTGTAGTAGTGTTTCTGTTTTGCTTTCCTATAGAACTACTAACAGTTTTAGACTAACGGTTTCTTTCCTCATCTTTGGGAAAATGCTAAAGCTCCTATTGTCTGCTGTTTGTGTATACCTGCAAAGGTAAACTGTATAGGAGGAGACTGAAATCAGAGACACAACCTGAAGATTACTGAGGTCTTGTAGTAGTAGTAGTAGTAGTAATAATAATAGTAATAATAATAAATTATTATTATTATTATTATTATAAAATGGCTTAAACAATGTCTTATTTATTTATTTATTTATACCCAGTGTAGACAGCCTCAAGGTATATAATTTAACAATAACAACAACAACAACAACAACAGTAGTTGTAGTAGTAATAGTAGTAGTAGTAGTAGTAGTAGTAATAATAATAATAATAATATACCATGGCTTAAACCCAGTGTAGACAACCTCAAGGAATATCATTTAACAACAACAAAAACACAACAATAATAATAATAATAATAATACTTATTATTATTTATTTTTTTATAATTTGTTTATCATGGCTTACACCCAGTGTAGACAACCTCAAGGGAAATAATTCAACAACAACAACAATAATAATAATAATATTTATTTATTTATTTACCATGGCTTACACTCAATGGATATCATTTAACAACAACAGCAATAATAATAATAATAATAGTAATAATAATAATTATTATTATTATTAACAATGGCTTACACCCATGGCTTACACCCAATGCTTCATTGACACAACAACACATGCTCATGCAGGCAAAACAGGTTTGAACCTGACCTGCAACATGTCTCAATCTTATCCCTCTTCACTTCTCAATAATTTAATAGAAATAAAATATAAAAAAAATGTATTGTTAGTAATAATTTGTTTCATTTTTCAACTAGTTTACTGCTTCATTATTCTGAAACAAAGAAAGCAATGATTGATGTTGGATGTCAGCCAGAGTCCAGGGTTTTCTAATCCAGTGTGATAAGGACTGAAATAGCGACGGGCTCTGAGAGAGGCTCACGTATGGACTTGTCTGCAGGCCTGATGAGGGAAGCCATATTGTAAGATACTGAGTTCAGGAGCGGATTAAATTAGAAACCACTTAATAAAGTATGTCTCTGCTGTCACCCCTTTCTTCATCCCTCCTATTCTTTCTCTCCCTCTGTCCATCCCTCACTCACAGAGGAGCGCCCATCCTGTCAGTTGACCCCTTCAGCTCTTGTCGGCCCAGGGCAGAATCTCAGACTCCCGATCCGTCCATTGTGTGTGCTTGTGCAGACACATGCACAGAACAAAAAAAAGAGGAAAAGAAAAAAGCAAGCACTAAATAGCCCCAAATGTTCTGCTCTTCGGACACTTCGAGAGAGAGGATCTATAAATGAAAAGAATCCATCAATCAGTGTCATTTCTCCTCTGGCCCGCTCGGACAGAGCTGACTAATGTCATTGTGTGTTACTGTCCAGAGACCTTCCCCTCAATTCTAGTGTCAAAGAGACATGACAAGCTCATATTAAGACATAGGAGAACGACACAATGTCACCTTTTTGACCTGTGGCTGATTTCAGCGGGTCATTTTGCTTTAACTTATTGTTTAGATATCTTATAATGAAATTTACAGACAAAACACAGCACAGAGTAACTTTAAAGTAACTTTCATGGTTAAGTCTTTAATATTTTATATTGCTTAGCAAATTAGTAGTTCATAAACATTCAAATATTAATATATTGATATGAGACCAAAACATTCTACTACTGTAAATTTTTTATTACATTTTTATTTATATATTATATATTGTATTATATATTTTTACATTTATACTTTAAAAAAAAAAAAAAGTCCAATCAGATTTTATATGGCATATTTTCATTATGGTCTCTTTTGCTTCCTATTTTATGTATGAAAATATGAATTATAATTTCATGAATTTTGGATATACTGATTGATTTGTTATGCTTTATATTATATTTTATGACTTACTTTCTTCTGCGGAACATAAAAGATGATATTTTGAAGAATGTTGGTAACCAAATTGAACAGTGGAACTCAATGAGAACCAAAATTTCTTACCAAAATTCTTAAAAAAAATCTTCTATTATGTTCCACAGAAGAAAGTAAAGTCAAACAAGTTTTGAACAAATAAATGATAACATATTTTTTTTATTTTTGGGTGGACTATTTAAAGTCCCTTTAAGGTTTTAAACGAAAGATATTGTGAAGTCTAACCAAAATGATTTGATGTCCTGTATAAGAATTAAAGCCAAAATTATACAATTATCATTTACATTGTGCAAGCAAAAACTTACCTTCCATTATATAACTAAGCAATTCGAGTCTTATTCCTGATTTAACATGCAAACCAGCGACGCTCTGGAGGAGGTGTCTGTTGAATGGCTCAATCATAGAGTATAGCTCTAAAGCCTCTGGCTGAAACGGGGCATTAGAATAAGAATAGCCCCTGACCAGTGGCAGGATTAAGAAACGGCCCTGCTTATTAGTGCAGGCCTAGATGTAATACCTAAGCTTACCAACTGCAGAGGAAAGGGAAAATGTGTTGTTGAATTTATTTAGTCTCTTTAATGGACAATAGATGGTGAGGGTAGGGGGGCTCCATGGCCGGCTCTCTCAGCTCTGTGTTTAGAGGCGCTGGGTGTCTTTAATTAGGGCTTCCCTGAGGGGGGGCAGAGGCCTGCGGACAGAGCAATGAATGGGGAAGGAAGGCAAAAGCGTGAACGTAGAGTTTTTGTTTGATTAGGAGGACCAGACAGGAACACTGGCTCAGACAGGTCTTGCAGGATTACCAAGCCAAAAAAGACAAAACACTGGGGGAGAATACAAGCCAATAATTTAACGATGTTGGCATACAATTTTCTTGCTCTTTTAAAGCATTCTAATAATGCATATGGATCTATTGCTTTTAAATTAGAGCTTGAAGTCAACAAGCAGCAATTCTGCTCTGTTGCACTTAGACCAATACTTGAGTGTCACAAGCCAAAAATGTGGGTTGATATTGCCTGATTGTTGATGATCTTTAGGGGTAATATTATAGATCAAAAGTTCATCAAACATGCAGGGACAAGATTCTTAGAAGTTTTTAAAAAATATTCTAAGCCAAAACCTCTTAAACTTAATATAAAAGTAGCTCTTTATCATTATCGCTCACTGTAGGTCAGTAACTTTCCTCAGCATCAAATACTTTATATAGGCCTTTATACACTGTAAAAAAAAATATATATATGTAAAAATAGGACACAATGCACTATTTCCATATTGTTTTTTTTTTTTTTCAAACAGGTGGTGTTTTTGCAGGTGTTTACCTGTATTTGGAATTGATATGTAGAAATAGGGCAGAATGTATTATTTCCGTAGGTTTTTTAAACGTGTTTTTATGGGTGTTTTACCTGTATTTTGAATTTTGGACTTCATTGCATTGTGGTTTAGGGTTAATGGCTAGTGTTAAATGCCCATGTTTATTTATTTATTTATTTATTTTACAGATTAGGGTTGTCAAAAATTAAATGTGCCTCTAAATATATACATTTTTTGTTTTAAAATTTATAAAGAATTTAAATAAACAAAATGTATTAAAAGTTGCTCATAATCAAAAAGTTTTAAAGAGATCACTGTTTCCCTTAGCAAGAAAACAAAAACTAAAAATTTAAATAATTGTTGTTGTGTGTGTGTATATATATATATATATATATATATATATATATATATTGGGG